TACCTAATCAATTTCCCATCTTGGAAGGAAATGAGAAGGCAATGCAAAAGTTGGATGGGAAGGGTAGACAATGAGCCTGAGGCCAGGAATACCAGCCTCACCTACAGTGGCCCAGATGTGAAGCCATGAGGGGCTGCTAAGGAGTAGGAATAAGAAAACAGAAGGGATCTGGGATAAGAGGAATCTTGAGGAGATAAAAATCAATGAATGGACTTGGTCTTGCTGCCTGATTAGATACACAGAGGGAAGAATCCAGGATGACTTACAGCTTTTGGCTTGAGAACCTGAATGGACAGTGTTGTCATCCGTTGAAACTGAGAATATGTGGGGGAAAGGTGGAAGAATGTTGGTTTGAGATGCATGTGGAATGTCCAAGGGAGATGACCAGTAGGCATCTTGATATACAGATCTAATGCTCAAGAGGTCACGCTCATCTAGAAATGTAGTCTTCAGCAGGTATTATTGGTGATACTGACCAGGTAGAACAGAGCTGGGATAAGAGAGGGCCAGACACAGAACCCAAGCCAGCTCAAGTCAAAGGACCAAGACTGAGAACTCAGTCCCGGTGGGTTTCATTCAGAGAGACAGTGTGTGTGTGTGTGTATCTGTCTTACATCTGCTTCTCTTTGAATATTTGCCTCATTGCCTCCAATTTCAGACTGGACTTTTCTGCTAGGTGGAGAGTAAAGTCACTGGTAGCTCCAGAATAGCCATCCCTACTCTTTTCCCCCCACCACCACACTATAACAAGAAAGAAAGTGAAGTCGCTCAGTCGTGTCCGACTCTTTGCAACCCCGTGGACTGACTGTAGCCTACCAAGCTCCTCCATCCATGGGATTTTCCAGGCAAGAATACTGGAGTGGGTTGCCATTTCCCAATAATCCCTAGAAATAACTCTGAGTGGCTTTGCTTGGGTCATATGACCTATCCTTAGTCCAAACACTGTTGCCAGCTATTGAGCACTTGGATTGGCCAGACCTAGGTCATGTGTCATGAGTTCACATTGTCATCTGGTTGGGGGTGGGACATAGGGACAAGTTCTATTACCAGAAGAACAATGATGGTAAAGCTTTCAGGGCAGATAAATATAGTTATCATGGTTCCCCACCCATCAACATTTAAAGAGGTAGATAGAAAAGGGGGACCAGTAAAGGAGACAAAAAATTGACATGTCAGAGTAGATTATCAGCTTTTCAGAGGCTGAGAAATGTGTCTTATTCATATCTGTTTCCTCCTTCCCTCTGATATGTAGTGCTATGCCTATAATCAACAAGTGTGGATGGAATGAATTCATAAACATTCCACATGGCAAGTAGTGGGTATTTTTCAAAAAACATGACAAAAACTGACACCCAGAAAATCTTATTTGGACAATATACAAAAGCACTTTTTTTTAAGTAGTTGTCCACCACTGACATGGTTATTAACATTAATAGATTCTCTGAAAAGAGCCAGTCGTTTTCATGATTTGGATTAAGACACCATATCAGTTTGGACCCACGTAGTTACAGTGAGAATTTGATTGGGGGACTGTCATTGAAATCAGGTAGTGTTGTTTTAAAGACTGTTCAGTTTATTGCTTGGTTCTAGGGCTGACTGTAATTTCATGCTGCATTTGCAAGCCTGCAGGCAGATACCTTAATTACTATGGACATTAGATAGAAAGAGGAGTGCTAGTCCAAATCTCTATTAATTGGTGACATACTTCCACCTTCGGGGGAACAGATGCTAGGAAGGAATGAAAGAAAGCTTGTAAACCACAGCACCCAGCAACTCCCCTTAGGTAGTATCTATTTTTTATTGTCAAGTACCTTTTATATCCACTAGGGGGAATCCTAGTGTGTATCAAAACGTGGCCCTTTCTAAGCATAATGGAATGAAATCTCTTGAAAACTTGTCTGTTGATGGGTGTGTCCTCTACCCTGTCAGGGTCCAGATATCTGGCATATTATATTTTTCAAACAAATTAGAGAATATCATTCAAAATATGTTAAAGAGTGGCAATTATTTAAACTCTCACTGGATTTAGAAGGGGTCCACTAAGCATTTTAGATAAAGTTTTTATTATAAACAGAAGTTTCCACCACGAAAAGAAAGGTTTATATTTGTTAGAATATTTGGCTATTAAAAAACAGAAAATGCTGAATCTTAACACTTTCAATTTTAAAGAGCTTAATTTTAAATACCTGTGTGATTTCAAATTTTAAGTTTAAATACTAATGTGATCTTAATGTTCACTGGAATTCTTAAAGTATTATTGGCACTCCGTGGATAATTATTATAAGCTTGTCTAACATAATTACAGTATAAGACTCTTCTCTTTTCAACACAAAGCCATTGTCAAAGTTTCAAAGATGCTGTAAATTAACAATCTGAATGCAGTACTCAGACTTGAATTCAGTGGGTGCTTCTCCATATTGTCAATAGTATATATTTTTGTGGTTGGCTATCGCTCTTCTCAGTTCTGTTCTCTGTCTTTACAGAGATAATGAATTCACAAATTGGTAAATATGCATTATACATATGCTAGGTTGTCATTGTAACTAGGGCTGTGGGTACCCCAAAGAAGGACGCCCTGTCTCTAGCATCTGCAGTGTTTAGAACACAGTTCAGCCAATGTTTGTTGACCACTGAGTCTGGGCAAGGCTTAAGAAGCTGCACGGGGAGGGAACCGTCAATCTAGCTCACTGCCCCAACTCTCAACACATGCTCAGCGCATGGGAGGTCCTCAGAAAGTGTTTGTTAGAGGAATGAGCAAGTATATGAAAAAAAGGTGTGAGGGAATAAAGGGAATTATGGTGAAAAAAACGGAGAAGGCAATGGCACCCCACTCCAGTACTCTTGCCTGGAAAATCCCATGGATGGAGGAGCTCGGTAGGCTGCAGTCCATGGGGTCGCGAAGAGTCGGACACGACTGAGCGACTTCACTTTCACTTTTCACTTTCATGCATTGGAGAAGGAAATGGCAACCCACTCCAGTGTTCTTGCCTGGAGAATCCCAGGAACAAGGGAGCCTGGTGGGCTGCCGTCTATGGGGTCGCACGACTGAGAGACTTCACTTTCACTTTTCACTTTCATGCATTGGAGAAGGAAATGGCAACCCACTCCAGTGTTCTTGCCTGGAGAATCCCAGGGACGGCGGAGCCTGGTGGGCTGCCGTCTATGGGGTTGCGAAGAGTCAGACACGACAAGTGACTTAGCAGCAGCAGCATGGTGATAAACTGAATAAGACACCATCCTTGACCTCAGGGAATCCACAATTGAACAGAACTATATACACAACTAATGTACAATGAATAATGCAGACTGCAAGATTCAAATGCTTTCATAGACTGGCAGATAAAGTGTTGTTCAAGTTCAGAACAGGGGATTCACAACCAAATGGAGAAATCAGTTAAACACATTCAATAGGCAACTTTAAGTACACTGCTAGAAGGGAGTCTGGCGAGGAAGAGATACTCATTCCTATATTAGAATAAGTGAATGAACATTTACGGTACACCAGACCCTGTGCCCATTCCCAGGGGCATGAAGATGAATCAGAACTTGATTTCTATTTTAATTTAAAATAATTTTTAAAGTTCATAGTCTAGTAGAGAGCTTCTAATATACTTTCAAGAAAGACTTCCAGGAGAAAGTGGCTTTTAAATTGGGTCTTGAAGGATGCATAGGAGTTTGCAAGGCAGAGAAGAGAGAAAGAATATTTTATTTTTCCTTTTAAATATGTATTTATCTCTTTGGCTGTGCTAGGTCTTAGTTGCAGCACATGGGATCTAGTTCCTTGGCCAGGGCTTGAACCTGGGTCCCCTGCATCGGGAGGGTGGAGTCTTAGCCACTGAACCATCAAGGAAGTCCCAGGGAAAGGATATTTTAGATGAGAAGTACAGTATATGCAAGGGGATGGAGGCACAGGAAGGTCTGCCTTGTTTAAAGAATATCCCGTTGCTTAAAATGGATGACAGTACCAAGTATATCACTAGCTCTTAGCACAAAGCCCTGTAGAAGGAAGTTCCTTAGTAAATACTAGTTGTTTTTGACAATAATGATGGTTAGAGCCAGAGGATGACCTAAGTCTTAAGTGCTGGTCAAACTCAAGTAAGAGTGCTCAGTACTGGGCATATGCCCAGGAAACACTAGTTAAAATTCTCCTCTAAGGATGAGATTTAAAATGAGTATCGTGAGCTGAATGGTGTCCCAACACACCCCAAAATTCATCTGTTGAAGTCCTGACCCCCCAGTATCTCAAAATATGACTGTATTTGGATATGGGAGTCTTTAAAGACGTAAAAGGAGGGCTTCAGGGTGGACTGGCATCCTTATAAGGAAAAAGGAAACAGATAAGAGAGAAGACTAGGTGGAGACACAGGAAGAGATGGCCATCTACAAGGAGAGAGGCCTCAGAAGAAATCAACTCTGCCACGCCTTGATCTCGGACTTGCAGGCTCCAGAACTATAGGGAAATAAATAGATTTCTGTTGTCTAAGCCACCCAGTCAGTGGCACTTTGTTATGGCAGCCCTAGCAGACTAGTAATAGGTTAGCAAAGCATTAGAGTGCTGGTACTGATAATGGTGGTGATGATGATAGTGGTGGTGGTGATGATGATGTCGTTTAGTATGCTTGAAAATTCCCATAAGGTTAGATGATACTATTTCCCAGCTACAGTGAGGATGCTGAGGCTCAGAGAACCCAAGGCTGCCTAGTTTTGGGGTGATGGCACTAGATTTGGAACTTAGGCCTGACTAAGGCTACCACTAGCCTTGTAAAGTCTTTGTAAAGAGAAAAAGCATCTCTTCCTTGAGCAGAAGGTGGGCTGGATTTCAGCTCCTCTTGCCCCACCTTGGCCAGATGCCTTGGTGCAGGGCTCCCCCTTCACGGTGACGCACTCTACAACCCAAGCACTTAATCATTATGCTGGGCTTCCCAAGGGGCTGGGGTGGCTGGAGGTAATACTACCAAGCGAGGAAGAGGGATTCTGAGAGCCTGGATTGCAAACCTCACCTGCTCCACAGTTGGGCACTCGAGAACCCAGGTCCATGAGCTCTGGGTCCCAGGGGGTGGGCTGCCAGTGGTCCTACAGCCACAAGGGGGCCTTGATTCAGCCCAGTTCTGCTAAGTGGCTTCAAACAGCTCCGTCTCCAGCCCTCATTAAGCAAGAAATCTAGTTTGCTGGGATCACACACCTATCCGGTCACCAGCACCCCTCCCCCACCCCTCCCCACCCTCCAATCAAAGCGACTGAGAAAAGCATCTTTGAGCATTTTGACGATGAATGTCAGAGCGCCTCTCCTCACAATTAAAGCTCCTGAATGTTCCAAATTGCAGCTTTCATGATGGGGGGGAAAAAGGCCTCTGACAGCGTAAATATTTAATCACCATTAAGAATGTCCAACAAAGGAGGGGAGTCTGGTTTCAAATTGGCTGGTTCAGATGATGAAAGTGCCGAAGTCACAGCAGAGTAAAAATAAAGTTCCCTCTAAAAAACTCCTGGCTTTAGAACTCAAGATGGTTTCTATTTCTACTCCATGGAACACTGTGTGTGTCACCAGTCCTTGAGCCACGAAGGAACTAGAATACCTGATTTATCTTTAAATATTAGTGGGGGTGGGGTGGGGTGAAGTCTGGAGACAAGAGAGGATAGCAGTCTCTTCATAAGCCTGTTTTGGGGAATCATGAATAAAAACGGAATTTCTAGACTGTATTGAAGGGACTGCTGAAGTTCAGACTTAAGGAAAAATGTCTAAAAAGGAAAAAGCAGTATGTTCAGTTTTGTGTCTTATTTGAAAATAGACTTCAAACGTTCCGCAGTGTTTTAGATATCAGAACCACCCCTGCCCCCCACCACCTTTTGAACCCTTAGCTCCCAGTAGTTCTCGGTTTACTTTTAAGGCAAAGCTTTCAGTTTTATGATTTAGCTGGAAAAAATATATAATCTTAGTCAGGTTTCCATTTGTCTCTATCACCAGGTTGAACTAGTGTAGGAAAGCCCGTTGTAAAGGGGAGAAAGAAATGGAGATTTTCCAAAATCCAGGCTGGGAGGAGCCAAACATTTGGAGAGAAAGACTAGGAGTTCCTTGGTGCCTAACAGTGTCTCATGCTCCCCATCAGTGGACAGACAGAAGGTACAGGTTTAAGTAGCATTCTCCTTCTCTTCTCCACCCATGCTTGGAGGGGGGCCGGTACATCAGTTATGGTTCTGACAGAAAAGAAGTGACACGGGCAAATGGGTTTGTTAGTGAAGGGGCCATGGCAGAGGTGTGGACGAGATGAAGGGAGACCAGCCAGGGCCAGCAGCAGAGGGAGACGTTGGTTCCTGCAGACCTGATGAGTAGGGGGAGGGCCGGTGATAACGCAGAGAAGGCTGGGACCATAGATGTAGTTGTAAAACAGGGCTGACCACAGCTTCTGTAGCCTTTGAGAGGGACAAGGCCAGTGCACAGATCACTGGAAGAATAAATATCTGGACATCACCCCTGGGTCTCCTGATGGGGGACTCAAATTGGCTGGACCTAACTGGAAACCAAAAAGCGAGGAGGATGTCCAAAAACGTCAAACTTGGGGGTGGACAGCAGGATGGAGAAGAGTGGGAATGTGTTCTGTAGAGATCAGTGGAAACTACCCAGCACAAATGGGGAAGGAGAAACACATAGGATCAGAGAAGGGGCAGAATGGCGAGGTAAATGCTCGGCCTTCCATTGGATTTGCCCTTGGGACTCTGCATGATGCTGTCTGTGCGTCCAATGCCTTCCCCACTGTGGGTGACGAGTGAGGCTGCCCTCACCATGGGGACCACATGTTGAGCTTGTCAACAACCCAAGTTCAGAGCTGATGCCAGTTGCTTCTCGTCCACCTTGATGGGCATATTTTCTAGGGAGTGGAAAGGCCTACAAATGAGAAGGTGTGCAAACTTGATGGCAAGCAGCAGACCACTCACTGCCCAGTCCAGCAACTTCATCGTTAGCTCAGAGCATCTCTCTGTCAGAATCTCAAGGAAAAGGAAGTGTGACTGACTGTGACGTTATCTGCGTGTTTATCTTATCTTCTGCTATTCGCTTCAAGAATTTGAGTTATTAATATGAGGGCCTGGCTTCTGGCAGCTCTTCTCTTTAACTGGGTTTACGCCAAGCTGCCAGTTATCAAAGGATTCAGGCCCTACGATTACACTAACAGTGAGCCTCAGAGCTGTGACGGCAGAACAGAGACACAGGGCAAGACATTGTATTAAAGAGGGATCGGCATTTTGTGTCTAGTCCATGATGCCCTTTTGGCTCCATATTTCAAAACAGCAGCAAGGAAAACATGAGCAGGGATAGACCCAGGTCTTGTCTAAAACCAGACAAGAGTTGGTGACCAAGAGACTGCTCACAAGTTACCGAGGTCCCCTAGATCCCGAGGAGTAATTAATGGATGACTCTGCGCTTTGTGCCCGGATGAACTCCAGTTGGTCTAGAAAAACACTGTGATGGTTGATGATTTACCATATTTTGCTTTCTGCTGATAATGGTCTCATGCTTTTAACCACTGGTTTTGGTGAACGTTTTGCAGAAAGGGCTCAAAAGAAACTTCATGACACTGAGTGTATTACATGAGAAGGGAGGGTACTAGGGGGGCAGGGTGATGTCCTAGACACCACAGTCCCTTAAAAACATCTGACATTTGACATCCCTTCCATAGGGCAGAAACTCATCCATCCCTAAAGCTGAGTGAAGGCCCCCTTTTAGCTTAAAGGAAGTCATTGGACCTGGAGTAAAGAATTGTTACCTTGCACATTCAATCCACTCTCCCCTCTACAATTGTATCTCTGCTGGTGAAGGACCATGAGGACAATGTGATGTCCAAAAAAACAATTGTAGTGTGGGGAGTAAACCAAATTCTGCCTACTGAAGGAACACCACTGAGCCTCCAACACTTTAACCAAAGGCGTGGGCATCATCACCAAAGTGTAAGATGCTCAGCAATTGTCTGGGGCCATGCTGGGTGGGCAAGGAAGACAAGGCACCACGTTCTATTGTTGTTCAGTCACTACATCCTGTCCAGCTCTTTACGACCCCGTGAACTGCAGCACACCAGGCTTCCCTGCCCTTCACTATTTCCCAGACTCTGCTCAAACTCATGTCCACTGAGTCGGTGATGCCATCCAGCCCTCTCACCCTCTGTCGCCCCCTTCTTCTCCTGCCCTCAGTCTTTTCCAGCATCAGGGTCTTTTCCAATGAGTCTGTTTTTTGCATCAGGTGGTCAAAGTATTGGAGCTTCAGCAGCGGTCCTTACATTGAATGTTCTTTCACCACATCTTAACTGTGCCTTTGACTGACTTTCCATGTTTATTGAACTGCATTCAACTCGTCTCTCAGCATCAATTCAAACTTATTAAATGGCTCTTCATCTTATCTGCTTTCAACCATCTACTCATCAGCAGACTAGAAAGAAGCCTGGCTCATTTCTTTTTCCTGTCAGTCACAAAGGGGGCTAGAGGCTCTGATAAGGGCCTTGATGTGGAAGACCACATAGATTTGAGCAAAGCTGTCTTAAGTCCTAGAAGGACATGACTGGAACTGTTCAACCCACTGAGTGGTGCTTTTCAAATGCCACCGAGGGGGTTGTAGCTATGTAAATAAGGTATAGAGAGAACTCATTGGCTGCCGGAACTAATAATCTTAGTGGCTTTTCATCTCTGCCGGGCCAGTCATTCCCGAAGACCACTGTCAGAATTTCCTAAGTCAGAAGGCAAACCGAAGCACCAATGATGCCATCTTGTGACTGTGACCAATTGCCTGCCGACCAGTTCTTAATGTCCTGAACCTCGGCAGGAAGCCACGGGATCTATAAAGTCCTGTCCAGCAGAAATGAGTCTGATTGTGGATGGTCTGGTTAACCCAGATTGCCTTTGGTGCCTGGGGGAGTTGATATTTTCTCATTATGAAGACTTTCCCATCTAGTCAATGCTACAAATAAAAACTGCTCGGAATCGGTCTGAACTGCCTGTTTCCGTGGTAGCAGGTCTCTGTCTGGAGGATAAATCTGCACCATCTTCCTTTTTTCGGGTTTCAGCCAGTTGTGTTACAAGGAGTTCTGAATGTGCAATACGTGATACCCGGTGGGCTGGGCTCCAGCACTGGGAGAGGGAAACCTTGTCACCGGTGGGATTCGCATCCTTGGCCAAGCAGTGTCCGAGAGAAAGCGATCAAAAACATTCAGAATCCACATGCATAAATATTTATTTTGGTTGTTCATGTTTCCCACCGTTTTCAAACGTGAACTTATGTCCTGAAGGTGGAGCTTTAGCACACAGGAAAATTGGAATGGGACAAACATGTTTGTACCAAACAGGATAGAATCAGCAAAGAACACATTCATATGCTTCCTAGTCCTCTACATTTTTCAGGCCAAAAAATAGGCACCAATTCTGATTTCTTTCACCATAGGAGCCTGCATACAATTAAATGGGAGAGAAAAGAAGCCTGCTCTCAAGAGCGGGGCTTATGATCCCAGTAGAATGGCAAGAGACTATAGCCATCAAAGGCACTTACGCTTCTTGCTGGTAGTGTTTTTTAAGATGTTTCTTTTTCAACACGAGGCAGCAATGAATTGAGTAGTGATCAAAATGCCGCACCACAGAGTATGTTTAATCCAAATAGCTCCCAAGATGGTCTGCTCCTGATTGTACCAACTCTATGGGACTTCGAGAAATTACTTGGTTACCAGTGAAGTAAAGCTATCTCCAGAATGGAATTGAACTGTTGCTTCTCATAACAACATTGCCACAGCCAGCTCATGAAGGCAGTGAAGATCATTGTGTTTCTTCACCATTCACGGGGAACACTGTCAAAATATGGGCACACACACCCCTTCCTATGCTGTTGAAGGGTTCCATGAGCTACTGCAGATGCTTCCAAGACACCACTTTTTCCACTGCCGGCAGTGCAAAAATTCTTAAAACATTTCAGGTGGGGAGACAGTGAAGGGAGTGACGCCTGATTATTTTGGAGCAGAGCGCGTCTGATTAGCCTCGCCTAAAGATCTCCTGATTCACCTCGATCT